GAGGGCCAAACACACGCATTCTCTTTATACTCCTTAGAAGTTGTATGCACTTTTGTTTATAGCCCCTGGGCAAGAATATTGTCATATGATTATGCCTAGTTTCAAGGGAGTTTAAGAATTGTAGTCCTTAATCTGAGTTGCTATTTGCTGGAGAGAAGGAAAATGGGTTTGGAGATATGATTAGGATTTTTTTTTTTTTTTGGCTACAGTCTACCCCTTTGGTTGTTCTTATATACATGTGTACCCATTTTTCCACATACACAACACGTTCACTTCATCCTGAGAGAAACTACTCCAATATTTCATTTAGTTACTGTACTCAGCTCAAAGCCCAGGATGTCTGAGTAATGTTCAGTCTTTATCGGGTTTTGTTCAGGGCCTGTAAACTAAAATATGAGGTAACTGCTTCCAAAACAATTAGTATACAATAAGTATAATAGAAATAGGATGATAGCAATAAAAAATTACTATTCATAAAAGAGGAGAATTAGTAACATGTAAAAGTAACCGACCCGTATCAGTTATTAAATTGCTACTGTGTAGGAAATTTGAAGACTTTCTGTCCTGACAGAAGAATAAATTTATGGATTAAGCGTTGTTTTTGAGCCTGGTGACTTTTTGACTTGCTCACCACTGTGCCTTGCCCATTTCCATTCCATCTTAATGCCAACTACAATGAGTCTACCTGAAACAATTGGCTTGTATGAGAAAGCAGTCCTGAGGTCCCTCCTCCTCTTTTTGTTTTGGCAGTTGGGTTCATAGGCTTTACATGGCAGAGCTCCAGTCTTATTTCCATTTTGCAGCCACTGCTTTTAATTGTACCACTTTGGAGTACAGGGTGCTTCACTCTCTGTTCTCTAAGGCTCTGAAGTAAGAGGCTTTTAGTGAACTTGCATTGCAGGCCTCAGGAAAGAGTACATCTTCCTTAGCAAAGATGAACTCCTTTATAGCTCTGCTTACTGACTGACTAGCTCTAGCCTGAGTTTTACCTGTCTGGAATAGTTCTGTTGACTGTTAGGAGGAGCAGCCAACATATAGCATTCTGAATCTTTCCTACTATTTCCCTTAAAGCTATAGCGTTCCAGTGTAATCAAATCAGGTAGTGGTTTAACCAGGTGTTTTGCCCCACTGCATAAGTGATCTCTAGCTTTTCAGTCTTCAGTGTCTGAGTGCTCACCGCTTACTACTGTATTAAGCCAGTGCCATTTATGTTCTTTCTTACGAAGCATTCTGCTCCTGGCACCATATTCTGTATTAAGATTGTATTCAACCATTTATGACTCCCCCTCCCTAAAAGTAAAATAATAGTGACTTTAAACATCATATAAGTTTATTTTTCTCTTACATGAAAGTCCAGAGATAGGTAACCCAGAGCTGGTGTGGTATTCCGCAATGTCAAGGAATGTCTTTCTATTTTTGTTGCCTTGTCATTCTCAATATGGGGCTTTTTCCACCTCATTCACATTCCAGCTAGCAACAGGAGGGAGATCCAAAGCATGATGTACTCCATTGTTTTAAGGATATTTTTTGGAAATTACAGTATTTTTAGTCATGTCCCATTGGCTTGAACTCAGATTACATGGCCACACCTAACTGCAGGAGAGACTGGGAAATGCAGTCTTTATTTGGCATGCACTCAGCTAAAATTCGGGAATTCTGTTACGAAGGACGAAGGGGAAAGTGGATAGTGGCCAACAACCTCTAGTGCCTGTCACAATGATCCAGATTAGGTTCTTTTACTTCCTGCTTATTGGTAGTCTCTGATACTTAAAAACACTTATCATTCTCTTCCCATTGTATTGTTTTTTTTATGCCATCCAAGACTTTTATTACATTTAGATGCTTGTTTCTTTTTTACATAGAGATCACCAGTGTGCTACCTTTCTCCTTGATTAATTTAGAACATTTCCATTTTAAGATATGCCACCAACAACATATTTGAAGATTTTAACTCTGGTATGCATTTACCTTTTCTTTTTTTGCTGTCCGCGTCATGCTTGTTGCCTACACAGATGTCTTCACAATGTGTTGCGATGGCTGCTTCTGCTGTGTGTCTTAGCATTTTATAAATTCTGAAATAATTGTTCTTAGATGTCGCTGTAATATGGAAATTCTCACAGTACTTTGGAGAGCACTTCATTGTACTATTTGCTTTGTTTGGGAAATGGATTTCTTTGCCTCTACTCTCTCTTCCCTTTTTATTTTAAAGGTTTAAATATAATTGTACTGTAGTTAAAATTGTATTTAATAATGTTTGTTACGTTTTTCTCCAAAAGAAATTCTCAATACCTTTTTAGAAATATTAATTGGCTGAGAGTAATACTGTTTGAAGTAAGAGGCTATCAGAAGGGAACAATAATGAGCCATGACTTAGGAACTGTTTTTATTTACATTGCTGAAATTCATTATATTTCCAGACTTTATACCTTGATTGAAGCCTTTAATGACCATGAGAAACTGCATATTTAATGCATATTTAAACACAAACTCTGTACCGTGTACTGTGAAGGTAATGTGAAGAGCCAGAGCTTTTGTATGGTAACTGATCTTGCCAGAGTCGATTCCTTTAATTAATAAGTTAACTTTTGTAATTAAAGTGTAATCAGAGGAATAATCGACAAGCATGCTGGTAATATACCTTGGTGTTTCGGCTTTAATGCTGCAGTGCTGTCATCGGTATGTGTACGTTGCCCTGAGGAACCTTCATTATAGTACCAGTCAGTGC